ATGAAGCAATTCCTTCCCAGCCTGACTCACAGGAATGACTTCTATGGATGCAATTGTAGCTTTCCTGATTCATTTCTATGTACAGTAAAAAAGATGGCTCCTCAAGCCTGACTTGGGATTTTAAAGGAGTTCAAAGTATATAATAAAAGGTTCTTATCCCTATTTTCAAGAGTGTGCACAGAGAAAGACAGTTATGTGCATACCCATCTATCTGCACCTGCAATAGCCAGTGAATGCACCTGTAGAGGCAGACTGGCTTGGACAGAGGTGAAGAAATTTCCGAGTCATTTTCATAGTTGTGAATGGGTCAATGACAGCCAGCAGCCACTAACTGTTACCAAGCCACAACCTTCACTTAGCCACTGGTGCATTTGTTTTCCCTGTAACTAAAAAAATTGCTGTTTTTCCCCTGTGCTCATTAGTCAAGATGGAGAAGCACATAATATGTTTAACATCTCCACCACTGCTACACAGCATTCAGTAGAAGAGGTAGGAAAATCAGGCACACTCACTATTCACACTCACTATCCAGGCTATTCTGTAGTCTTTGCTGCCTTATAGAAGACTACAGATTCCCCCACCACCTTCAGCTATATAGATTCCACTTGACTCTTTGTTTTTATCTTTTTGGGATAAGGACAGTAAAGACATATCTCTGTATACTACAATATAATATGATATTGCCACTATTACTGTTACACTGACTTGCTTGTGATTCTCTGTCGAGAATTTCATGTAAATTAATTAGAATCTTTTAAGAGACTGCTTTATCACAAAGAGAGGCAGCAGCCTCTCTGTAGCAAACGGTGCTATCTGTTTCCATTGTAAATACTTATGAGAAGCTCACTGGGCATTTCACGAATGTGGTGTGAGTGATTGTCACCACTCTGAAGAGTCAAAGCAGAGGAAGGGTTAAAGAGGAGTAGAATTATACCTGCTTCAAGGTCACACAGGTCAGTAGCAGTCAGGACAGGAAGCAAAGTCTGTCTACTGGACCACACTGCCTCAAGGACTGCTTTAATACTCTCAACAACAGGTATGGAAAATTGGTAAGGGCTCAATTGTTTGGATCACATATTAGATCCAATAACGCCTTATTTGCCCATGTAGAGCGGGCCTTACATGCTAGCACACTCTTTATGTACAGGGCTTTTTAAAAAGAAATAGCCACAACAGCTTTCTAATACCTACTTGGAAGCGACTCTGAAGTATTTCTGGATGAAATAAAAGGCTATCCCAAGAGGTACAAGGGCAACGAGGAACCATGGTGTGGCATAGGAGATAATTCCAATGGCAGAAAGGCAAAGTAAGGTTGACCGGGTGAGAGACTCCAGGGTAGGGGGAATGTGCTATTGCAAAAATAAAATGAAAATGTATGTTAGACATCAGGATTTGGGCAACCATGCACCAGTTGTGCCCAAGACAGTGGGAGAGGTTGGTCTATGGCCATTTCAATGCCCCTCCATCACCAGGAATCAGGACATAGAGTTTCTCTTTCCTAGGAATCCATAATAGCAGCATGCAGAGGCTGTTGCAGAAGTCAGAATCTGGGTCTTTGGGATTTGGCTAATGCTCAGTATTTTCAAGGATCATAGAGAAATAGACAGTCACTCCCCTTTACTGAGAGACAAGAAAGAAAATGTTCATCATGAGGTAGCAACCATATTAGGAGCACACTGTATTTCCCCTATTGCTCTGTTTCATATATTAATACACACACACATGTCTTTTTAGGACCCCCTGCTACCATTCTCACACATGGGCCCACAGATCTGGCTTTTAGAATAATACCTTATCCAAGCATTTTCATTCTCAAAAATAATACAAGCACTAGAAATACCTCCTCTGCTGACAACTGCTCTCAGTTTACTGTTGTACACTTTTACTTTTCATAGTTCCAGATTGGTTTAAGGACAAAAGACCACTTCAGATCATCTAGTATTATCTACTCTGTATCACAAGTCATTACATTTCACATCACACCTCCTGTACTGACTTCAGTAACTTGTGCATTCCTGAAACATATCTTCTTGAAGGTACCAGTCTTCAACGGATGGGGACTCAGAGTATCTCTTCCCTCAGTAGCTAATCCCTCGCATCTCGCTATTTAAAATCTCATGCCTAATATCTAGCTTGAATTTTGTGGCTTAACGTTCTACCAGTAGTGTCTTTCCCCACACTGACAGACACCTTTACTGGCCGGAGTGTGAGACTGTACTAATATTTATATACTATTGGTCTATTTTTTTCAAAAGAAAATGAAACCAGCTGCCCTTGATTCCCAGGGTCTTCCTGGGCTATCTCCAACTTCAGCGGGCTTCCCATGTTGCCACAGGCAATATGGGTTGACACCATGAGTCCCTTGCTGCAAAGCAAAAAGTCTAGGAGCCCTGAGAGCCTCAGTTCATATCCAGGTTCTTGGGACTTCCAAGACCCATGCAGTAGAGCTCAGAATCCAGCATCAGCTACAGCTACAGCCCCCAGGATGTCTAGTCTCTTTGCTCCCTAACTCCAGAACAATTTATAGAGTTCCACAGCCCTGGGTAATGGTAGGACTGCCTTGGAGCTAGGGACAATGAAAGTCCTATGGTCCCTGACTCCAAATCAGTTTATGTGGCACGTCTGCTCCAGAGTGAAAGTCCTCTGAAACCAAGATGTTTCCAAAACATGTGTAAGTTTGAACAAATCAGTATTTCTTGACTTGCTCAATTCTTAGTATACTTTATAAAACCTTGTCATGCAAATACATGCATAGGCTAAAAACAGACAACTGGTTTAGTATGGCCCTAATTAGGATATGACTTGCGTCAAAACAAACCTAGCACAGCCATTTACATACTAGGCTTAAATGGCAGGAAAGTGGAATTAGCCAGGATTATTCTGAGGCAACATATTAATCTGAATAATTCACAGGTACTAAATGTGGGACAGTTGATTTATCAGTTTGCAAGGTCTAGGGCTTGCCACGATACAAAATGCTGAATTGCGACTCGAGTCAGTTGTCTGTGTTTCACCATGTTGTCTTCCAGCACCTGTACATTGCTCAATACGTCTGTCTTCCTGAGCAAAACACTCATTATCCTTATTAAAGGTATCTTGCCTGAAATTTCAAAATACAGAGATTGCTATATCATCCGTTCAGAATCTCAGTGACAATTTGTATGGCTGTCCGTGTACTAAAAGTATATTTGTGTTCCAAAATGTTGCCATTAGCTGGTTATCACAAGGACTACTGGAATAGAATGCACCAGTGGATTCACCTGATCAATAATATTCGTATCCGCAGAGAAGCGATTTAGAATTAACCCCAAGGGAGTCATGTCGAAGAACCTGTTTAACAAAGCAGAGGCAAAAATTTATGTGGAAAGGAAGTCCAGTTCTGGCTGAGAAAGCTCTCAATCTGAGCAAAGCACTACTATTCAGCAAGTCTTCAATCATGCTGACTAAACATAAATTACATACACAATGCTGACTAATACCTGTCTTCCCATTATTTGAATGCTTATTTTAATGCAAGACTGTAAAGTCTTCTCTCCTATAGTCCTTCTTCCTAAAACTTTGTTTCTTCCTCCCTCCATACTTTAACATCTTAATGTTAAAGATTAATTGCAAAGTCTGTCTGATGTCCTTGGTTGCTATTCCAGACCTTGGACAGAAAAGAACATTGTCATTCCTACTACCTTCCCCTCCACTGTGCATGGTAATTGTAGTTACTGAATGCATGCTGTTATGTGCTTGACCATTGTGCTAGATGACAGAGTACCTGTCTCTTTGGAGTAGGACTATGACATGCCCCTGAACACAGTAGATATTCTTTGCTAGTTTGACTTTGCAGCAGAAAAATCACTTTTGCTGTACCTGATTGGCCCAAGGATGATCTTGTTCAGGAGATTGTGGTGAAGGTTCTTGGCTGCTGTGAGGCCCATCCACTCCACAGTCAGAGATGTGATAAGACAAAGCACAATCCCTGCTCCACAAAGCAAGCTGAACCGAGCTACATAGTAAGTCTAGAAAAATGATAAATGCATTATCCTTGAAAATATAGATTTTTTTTTTCTGTTTCAAGATCCCCAGGGCAATGTTCTTCAGCACTAACATCTAGTACTGTGGCCATGTAGGCTAGAATCTATAGGCACATCTACACATCGCCCTATGGCAACATTGTCACTGCACTGTGCTAAAGCACAGTGTAGCAACTGCCCATACTGCACTGTGCACTCAGCATACAGTTAGTTTTAGCTGCTACTTCTCCATAGAGGAGCACTAAAACAGGGATGTGTGCTGCTATAGTGAAGTAGTTGCTGGTCACTTGCAGACTCACATGATTGCTATGTCACTGTAAGGCATGATACAGTGATGTAGTGTGTCACTATGGCGACACAGGGTGACATGTACATATGTCCTTCATGCTACATAAATAAGACTTTCTAACTTACCACCCCAAACCTAAATTCACTGTGCTTAGGTGCAACAGATTTTTTTAATTGGTAAATCAGGTTCAAGAGATCTGACTGGGTTCATGAATCAAGACAAATTCAACTTATCAAGGTTGTCATCCTTAAAGTTCTTGAAATGAGGGCACTCAGAACTTAGTAGGTTTAGTGCTGGGTCTGATGAAACATCTAGTAAATTGGTTAGGTGAACTAACTGGATAAATATGAAGGTGCCCAAACCCTTAGCTAAATCTTAGACTGATTCAAAATTGAACTTTTCAAAGATTAGAAAGTCAGCTATTGGAAAGTAAAACTATTTTAATTCAAGCACCACTGCAATTTTGGATTAAATCCTGAGTGGATTTAACAGGCTATAGTAATTTAGGTCAACAGAAGACCTGCCATGTGTCTTCTGGTGGGATATGGCGTACTAAAAATCTCAAGAAAAAACCTTTACTGAATTTTGGATATCTTCTGAATTTCCACATATTTATGAATATAAGTAACAAAGCTTTGGAGCAGTTTTGTTGCTGGGAGCTGCTGGTTATCTAGCACTTTTGAAAATGTGATCAGGTTAAGGCAAGTAAAAGCAGATTTTAGAGCCTAACATTAGATCCCCATGAGTGCATTTTAACAAGTGCTTTACTGCAGAGCTGACTAATTACCTCCACAGTAAAGCATCACCATCTACACATGCGCATTAAATTCACTAACCCTTCTGTAGGATATCATTGTCTGGACAAGTAACATCCTACAGTGCAGTAGTTATGTGTGCCAAAATGCATGTGTACACTACCGGGCTGGCTGGGGGACAAGGGGGCTACAGGGGGGAGGGGGCCTGCAAGCTAGCCCTGCCCTGTGGCCC